TAATGGCCGACTAGCTAAGATTTGTTTTACTCCCACATTTCTTAATGCACTTCAGCTTTCTCAAATACCACTCTGGACCCTGCTTGTCCCCAATCCAAGCTAAGATTGCAAAGCTTCTCAAGAAGATTGTCATGCAGTTGCTGGTTGCTGTTGGTTGCAGTTTAGTTGCTGGATGATTTCCATGTTATAGCAGTATCTGGTAATACAAGATGAAAGGTAAAGAAAAAAACATATATAAACATGAAGTAAGAAAGACTACAGCAAACTTATCTTTGCATGTTTCACAATGTTAATGACTCCAAAGTTCATCTCATCACAAGAATCTGTGCCATTGTAGTTAAAGTAAGACAGGATGAGAAACAATAGAATTTACAGCCACTGCCATCTATTGTGTAAGAACATGACCCCTTGGAGAGAAAGGTAATCTGTATATTTAGCATTTAATGGAGGGTAAAGGACACTTGGAGGTGGGGATTTGCATTTGATGTCACTTTTCCAGAACGATCTATTCCTGTTTGTCTGTGAATCTTTATTCCCTTTACAGAACTGTGTCCTGTGGAGGAAAAGAAGTCAGAATCCACACCTCAACAAAACCTCCACTAACAGAGTTCTTAATAACACTGCCACTGCTATTGTCAAACTTACGCTGTTGATTGGTTTTTACTCGTGATTTAGTTGAAAGAAATTTGACAAGTTTGAATGTCCAAACTGTTAAGTAATTTTTACTAGTAGTAATCAGCTAAGGCATTTGATCTTTCTGAATGTAGACCTGCACTGAGGACAGACTGTCTGGCTGCTGAGTTTGGTTCTGTTTCTGTTTTGTGGATTTGTTTGCAGTGTTTTGTTTGTCTGTTGAACTGAAATTAAAAGTTTGATTAAAATACTAAACAAAAGTAAGAATGCCTGCTTTTGTAACAGAACAAATAAACAAAATTAGGCAATTATAAGACTTCTCATAAAAAACACTAAATGCAAAAGGGTTTATCAAAACACAAAGCATTCATATTAACCTAGTAAAGCTAAAATATGAGGCTACGGATGATAATAAATTAGGAGCCATTTTGGAGCCAAAAGAGCTGACTCTCTGAAAAGACCTGAACTTCCCATCACTAGTCAGTAAGCCACAAAAACCACATGTCACGTTCGCCACTGACAGAAAATGGCAGTAAACATGTTTTTAAAACTTTAAGCACTTATTTCTTAAATCCAGCTCCACACACGGTGTTACGTCT